CATCTGATTTAACAACTGTATTACAGCATTTATTATTAATTACACATCATACTAAGTGTTTTAAAAGACCTTTTAACCTCTATTAAACCTCTTACTCCAATACCTAAAAGTACTACAAAAGCAATGGATAAGGATCAATTGAAAGTTTTTATCGACTCTATTATTAAAGGATTACAGAATTTCACTAAGGAATTGAAAAGCTCTTCATCTGGAAGAAGTACAGGACATGGATCTGCACCTAAGGAAAGTAATATCATTCCTATCAAACCCTTCTTTGGAAATGATGATGAAGACCCAGGCGATTGGATCAGAAGCTTTGAAATCACTGCTGAAGCAAATAATTGGACCAATAATCGGAAATTAAAGATTGTCCCTGGATATTTGCAAGGGCTTGCCACATATTGGTTTGAAGAAAATACAGACACTATAACTCAATGGAATACAACTGGATATGCTGATTCCAGTTTTGTATTATGCTTTTTAAAGAAATTCTCTACTGAAGAAAAGCAAAATATGTGACATCATCAACTCAATGAATTACGTCAAAGGCCTTATGAGAAGGTTGACTTTTATGCTAGAAAATTTAAAAAATTATTAAAGAAAGTCGACCCAGCCTCAGCATTACCAGACAGTTATACTGTACGATTATTTCTTAATGGATTACGAAAGAATATTGTACCTTTGGTAGCTTTCACCCAATCTGAAAATGTTGACAATGGTATCACTATGGCTAAACAAGTCAAAAGTGATCAATATTATGAAACTTAAGCTTCTACTCCCACTACCGGTAATGATGCAATCGATGTATTAACCAAATAAATGGAAAAATTATCTTTGAATTATGCAAATATAACTGCTGCGTTAGCTGCGTAATTGGAAGAAAAAAGCCTAGGCAAAGGTCTGAAAATCCACCTGCAAAAATCTGGGATAAAAAGGATATTACTTGCTTTCGTTGCCAAGAAAAAGGTCATTCTGCTAAAGAATGTATGTCTGAAAGACCAACCATATGAAAAAGAAATAACAATAATAACAGAGAGGCTAGTTATGTTGGAGTTTATACTGATAGCGATGAAGAGGATGAGAAAGAAGAAGTTTATGCTCTACCCAGAAATAATAAGTCTACTCCTTATAATACTGACAAGAGAACAGCTAGACAAATTAAAATAGATAGAAAAAGGCAATCAGAATCTAAACGTGAAATGAAATTGAGAAGCAGAAAGCCAGTTGATGAAGTCATGGAAGTGGAAATTCCACAACCTATTGTTACTCCAAAGAAGAAAAATAAGAGAGGACCTTCTTAAATCGACCAAATGCCTCCTTATAATGTTATGCAAGATTTGCTTCAAATGCTATCATCTGCAAAAATTGATCAATTATTACAATATTCTAATCAATGACGAAATCTTGCTCAAGGATTGAGAAGACCAAAAATTCAAGAATCTAATTATGCGAATCAAAAAAGTGACGAGGAAAAAGATGAAAAATCAACAGTAGTTCGATGTTATGTTAGAATTAAAGGAAATCCAGTGATTGTTATCCTAGATTCAGGAGCTGCAGTTAGCATAATCACTAAGAAATTAATGAAAAACTTAGGACTAACAATTGATGAAGCATCTACTACTGTTGTAGTTACAGCTAATGGAAAGCGAACCAGAGCTTTAGGACAAATTAGAAAAGCTCAAATTGCTATTCAAGATCTTTTGATCCCAATTTCTTTACAAGTTATTGATTCTCAGGACGAAACATTACTCCTAGGAATAGATTGGTTTAGAAAACTCATGTTAGTCTTGACTTTGGCACTAATCAAATTAGATTAAGATATTTAGCTAGAACTATTACTGTACTAATTACTTCAAGTGTGAATGAAACACCAACAAGTCATCAACCTAATCTTCATCAACATGAGGATGAATTGGAACAAGTTTTAGATGATTACGAGGAAGAGAAATTAAGCGAAATCGAAGCTTTTATAGCCGATAGTTAAGAAGAAGATGAAATTGATCTAATATCTCTTGATTATAATCCATGAAATGAAGAAGTTCCTGTATACATGACCTTAGCTTTTAAGGAAAAATTTGAACCAAACCCAGCAGTATTTCTTGCAGAAACTTCTAACGAAAATGTTTGGAAAATTAAGGATGATCTTCAAGTTAGACCTTTAGATGAAAAACAACAAATGAATTTTTAGCATCTGATCGATGATTTTTAAGACATTTGTGCTCTCAGTCAAACAAAAATTGGACGAACCAATTTGGTAAAACACAATATATTGACTTATAATCATGATCCTGTCACTACTAGAGCATATAAATGCAAGGATCCAACCAAACTTAAATTCTTAAAAGAAGAGATTAAGAGAATGGAAGAAAATAGAATTATTAGAAAATCAGTTAGCCTATGGGCATCACCAGTTGTTATAGTAGCCAAGAAAACAGGTGATAAAAGAATCTGCATTGATTATCAAAAGCTAAATTCTATCTCAAAAAGTGATGCATATCCCCTTCCGCGTATTGACGATTTATTAGAGAAATTCAGAGAAGCAAATTGGTTTTCCACACTTGATCTTGCAAGTGGTTATTGGCAAGTTGAAATGAGTGAAAAAGATAAAGAAAAGACTGCCTTTATCTCACAATTTGGACTATATGAATTCAACGTAATGCCCTTTAGTTTGAAAAATGCACCTGCTACGTTCCAAAAGTTAATGAACTATATTTTACAAGAATTTCTTTATGAATTCGTGGCAGTATTATTATTTACTGATACATTTCAAAGTCATATTCAACATCTCAGAAAAGTTTTTCAAGCAATCAAACAGGCTAATTTAATGATAAAACTGAAGAAATATCACTTTTGTCTTTCTAATATTACATATTTAGGACATGTAGTTGGACGTAATGGTTTACAACCTGATCCTTCAAAAATTAACAAAGTTAAAAATTTTTCTGTTCCCATCGATCTAACTAGTTTAAGATCTGCACTAGGATTGTTTTCCTACTACCATAGATTTGTTTCTGGATTCTCTAAGATTGCTAAACCTCTAACACAACTAATGAAAAAGGAAGAACCATTTTCTTGGACTGATATTCAACAAAAAGCTTTTGATTTTCTCAAAGAAAAGTTAATCACTACTCCAATTTTACAATATCCAAACTTTAATAAACCGTTCATCTTGTATACTGATGCATCTGAAAATGGATTAGACGCTGTTCTTTCTCAGAAATTAGAAAATGGATTAGAATATGTTATTGCATATGCAAGTAGAAACATGAATAAAGCAGAACAAAATTATGGAATTATTGATCAGGATTGTCTTGCAGTAGTTTGGGCTGTCAGATATTTTCATCATTATCTGAGTTCTCAACCCTTTACTATTATTACCAATCATTCTGCCTTAAAATGGTTACAAATATCGAAAATTCCAAAAGGACAACGTGCACGATGGATAATGGAACTCCAGCAATATAATTTTGAAATCAAGCATAGATCAGGAAAGTTAAATGCCAATGCTGATGCTTTATCCAGAATTAATCGAAAGGATTCAGTATCTGAATATTTCATGTTAACAATTGAAAATGAAGAAATTCTTTCCGATTCTGAAATGGAATGGCATCAATCTTCTACTTTACAAAGTGATGAAGATAAATGGTTTGAAGAGGAGTAAGCCCAGCAGTTCTAGCATACTCCACTAATTACTGCTGTTGGTTATAAATGCACAAAAGATGAAATGGAAAACATCTATCGTGAAAATATCAAAATAAAACAAGTAATCGTAAACCAACCTATAATTAAAGGAGGATCACAATATACCTTTACTTGTGATATTAAAAACCATCATTTGCATACTTATTGCAAAGCATGCAAAAAAAATTTGTCATATGGAATCATAGAACATGACTGTATTATTATTGGATTTAAACCTGGAAAAATCTAACCCGACATGAATCCTACATATCTAATTAATGACTTATGGTGGAAAGAACCTGAAGAGGTTAAGCAGGAAAATATCTATAATCAACTTTATGAAATGTTAAACATTTCATCCTCTTCTTCCTATTAAATACTTTATTTATTCATTTATACGTTTATTCTGAGTGAAAGCATAAGTGTTTGCAGTGTGACAAACAGCTCAAAATGGACATATCTCAATATAACAATCTCTTTAATTATTTAATTAACCAAACCTTTCCAAATAACTTTACACCTTAACAACAACAAAAATTGATTAAACAATCAAAATATTTCAAAATTAAAAATAATTATTTATACAAGAAAATCAATGAAAAGTATTTAAGAGTTATTAGATCACATGAAATGGAAGCAGTCCTATATATGATACACAATGATCCAACTGCTGGACATTTTGCAGTAGATATAATATTCTATAAAATTAGAGAACGATACTACTGGCCTCAGTTATATGAAAACATAAAAGAATATATACGCTCTTGTGATAGTTGTCAAAGAAGAGGCAAACCCAAGAAATATGAGGAATTACATTCTATACCAGTCCAAGCACCTTTTTATCAAATCGGAATAGACTTTGTTGGACCACTACCAATCATATCTAAGGGAAATAAGTACGTTATTGTTGCTATTGACTATTTTACTAAATAGTCTGAAGCTAAAGCTGTTCCTGAAGCTACAGCTGATCAAGTAGCTCTATTCTTATATGAGGATATTATTTGTCGACATGGATGCCCTGTAAAGATTCTTTCTGATTGTGGAACTCATTTTAATAATCAAATGATCAAAGAACTGATGGAAAAATTTAAGATTAAA